CAGTCAGTGTTTTCTGTCAGCGTTGAAAAGTCAACATTTGTTGTTGATATTGAACAACGTACATGTACATGCAGGATGCTGCAAATTGATTTGATACCGTGTCCACATGCCTTGGCTGTAATTGAAAATACAAGGAGAGATCTATACGCTTACTGTTCTTATTATTACACAAGAGATGCTTACGTGAATGCATACCAATATTTTAAATATCCTGTTGGGAACCAGAATGAATGGACAGTGCTTGAAGAAGTACAAGCCAAAATTGTGTTAGCTCCTAACCAGAAGAGGAGTTCTGGAAGATCTACTGAGAAGAGGAAGAGATCATCCAGAAAAGGGAAACCAACAGTAAAATGTGGTCGTTGTGGAGGACAATGTCACAATCGTAGGAGATGCTCAAGCGTGGTTCCATTAAACTAGAATGACATAGGAAAGTAATACAAATGAAAATAGAATTCAACCGATAATACAAATACATTATAGATATCTCATGGTCTTTTATTTTAAACATTCATTGAAATAGCAGAGTGAAATATACCTGTGGCCATTTTGTTTTCAAGTGTAATTGAGTTTCGACATCTACATAGTTGTTATGATAAGAAACAGTGACATATGTTTGAATTCTAAAAATGTTTGATAACCAGATGTGACATGTTGTATGAGATACATATATGAGATTACTTCTTCCATTCGACCATAAAATGTGACATATGTATCATAACACGTAACTTTCTCCAACAGACAAGTGTTCTGTGTCAGATAGGATACCTTTCGATTGAATTGTGTCTCATAACTACCTATGACCTGAGTTATGAGACATGTGACTACCTTTTCCAAAAAAAAAGTGACATATGTAACTACATTCTCAATCAAATAGAAATGAGGAGTGGTGTAACATGTGACTGTGTCCAACAGAGATATGCCCTGTGTTGTGTACTTGTGACCTGTGTTATATGACATAGGTCACAAGTACTCTGCTGTGCATCATGTGACCTGTGTCATATGCTAAACGAAAGACCTGTGAAATGCAATGTTTTTGTTATGAAAAATATTGCAATAATATGTAACAAATACAATCTTATGAGCAAAAATATGTTGTATTCATGTATTGCAAATCAAAGATTACAGCAACAAGTTAGTATTTAATACAATCACCTCCATTCGACAGAAAATACTAATATTTGTAACATGTACAAAACTAAAGCGTCAACTTCATTTACATATTTTAGTCTACTTTCTATGACAATCCCCTATCCTGTTATAGGCTACCTCGCCTTCTTCACGTACATCTCCCGATACTTGTACAGTAGTGTGATAATGTCCATTCTACACTTGCTAGCATCAAATGTATGTGGAATGGACTCTCTACCTTCACGGTGGATATATAACGCATATAAGATCACAAATATTCCGCAATCATGACTGCAAAACAATACAGGACAAAATGTTACAAATGAATTTTTTTTAAAAGTTATACACATTGTACTCTTGGTCACAAACATATCCATTCGTCTGCTGAGGTAAGGTATCATCGACAGTAACTTTCAATTCCATGCAACCGGGTTCAATATAATCAAGGTCTTTTTTTGATATTCCAAGATTATTCATTAAAGCAGCCAAGATTTTCACAAATGGCTCGATACCTTTTACAACTTTCTAGTCACGATAACTTTTGCCTGCCGAATTGAAAACTATCAACCTGTGGCTTCTAAATTGTAACAAACCAAGCATCCAGTGAGTTTTGTTGGTGGGCAGTAATGGCATGAATACGTAGTCAACATCAGTCCAAGATGTGCTCAAAGGAAGGCTGTCACCTGTTACAACTTTAATAAGACTAGACTCTGACATCAGAACATTGGGATCCTTCAGAAAAGTAGAGTATATGTCTTTGATCTTATTCTGAAATCAGGAATCAGTCGTTGTGGCTCTAAGCTTCACTTTGTTGCCAAGTTTTGCTACCTGGCGAATGTAATAAAAGCATGCATCCATGTGCTGTTTCAATAAAAACGGAAGAACTCAGTAATGTGGAATGTTACCTGTTTATATGAACCATGTATCTGTGACTATGAACTATGGACAGTAATTTGTGACTTTGGACTGCAATTTGTGCACATTAGGTAATAACTGTGTGCTGTGATCTGTATTACATTTTATGACTAATTTGCAATGAAAATGTGACCTATATGAGTAGAGTAACTGGTCAAAGATGAGTCTGAATTTGTAAGTTGGTAGAACCAGGACTTATGACCTACTAGGCGTGAACCAGTAACAAAAGTAGGATTGATTCTACCGTCTTTATTGCTAAATTTTTTCCTGTGACCAATATGGAGAAGTAAGTTATTGTGTTACAACAAGTTATTGATATAAATTAACAAATGGATACGAAATAAACGTACTTGGTTCTTGGTTTGTACCCTCTCTGGAACCAAGCCATGAATGCTGAGCTATCAACTTCATCAACACGACCTTTGTAATTTTCAAAAACAACAATATCGTCATGCTTGAATAACTTTCCTTCTCCATCCACAAATGGAGACTGCAATATTTTCGCAGACCTTGAAACCCGTTTAATTGGCAGTTCAGAAGTTGGTTCAGTAGTAGTTGTGTCTTGGGTAATGTTGTAACGGGTCACAAATTACTTTATGCGCATTTATTGAATTTAGCGTGCAGCATATAAACTCTATTCTACCAGGAAATGAACCGTGACCTTAGAACTGGACTATGTAATGGTTAGTAAGTATATGTGTAACCTGTGACCTATGACTATTTACTAGTACATGCATTTTGTGAATCCTGAATTTGTGACAAGGTACATCTTAGTTTAGCATGCTGCACATGAATTGTGACCTATAACCATGTACTAGTTATGATCTGTGACATGTGAACATCTAGCATATAAGTGTGATCTGTGACCTATGACAATTAACTAGTTGTGAACTACATGTTTTCTGAATTCTGCAGTTATAAATACCTCGGTATCAACAGTTGTAATTGCTGTAACCACATCCGATATTACAGAATCGACATGCTTCTGAATGTCTTCGGAATGTAAAATGTCAGGTTGTGTAGATCCAACCCCCAAGTCAAATGATGGTGCTTCGAGAGTATACGGCAGAACGATATCATCAGTTGGGTCTAGTTTGCCCTTTTCTTTCCTGTCCACATTTGGTTCCACAATTTTCACTTGTACACAAAATGAGAGAATATTTTAAATGTCAAATGAAACACTTGAACTATGTGGAAATGTAATGTAACTACCTCCTTGGTCTTATCAGATCCTCCAACAACCGGAGGATCTTTATCTCCAACTCCATGATCACTTTTTTTATGAATAAATCGTTTCATAATCTCATCCATAGAACTGGAAATCATTGCTGATACTGTTTCTGACAAAAAATGCATATTTGTCCTAATCTCCATCAAGTCACTTTTTATGTTAGATTGCATTTGAACTATGTAATTCATCTTCGTCGTTTGCTTAGCATTCACTGATGACATCTAAGACTTAATGTCATCAAGCTCCACATTCAACACTTCATTATAGGACTTCAGATCAGATATTTGTGACCTCAACTCCTTAATCTCCTGATAAAATAAATAAATTATTTATATGTGACTTGTGACCAAATAGAACCATATATTGCAGACTGTCAAAATGAATCTGTCACATGTGACCCGATCTAAACCACATGTGACCTGAAACTAGTGGTCTGTTACCAACAATATAATTGTTTGACAACTGACTAAAATAACAACTTACATTACCCCATTGTGCCTCACGAGCCTGTTTTCCATTGGAGAATGATGAGCAGCTGACAGGCAGTCTTGGGTTGAGGATTTTCCAAGGGGAGATGTCTCTTGCCATATTGGAGGAGGATCAACAAAATCATCATCATCGTTGTCGAGAACATTAGCTTGTCGAACACTGCTGTCTGTTAACAGGAGCACTGATGGACCTGACTTCCCACTCATACCAGCATGGTCAATTGACCTTTCTATCCTACTCTTATCTCTGCGACTGTCTGGTGAGAACTTTGGTTGAACTGGCTTCTTGTACTGGACACCATTCATGTATGGCATGACCATTTCAATTTCCGAGGGTTCCAGGTCACAAATCTCAATTTGTAGAATAATATAAATTAGAGAAATGCAATGTCAACAGATAATTACTAAGTACATAATGCTTACTGAAACTTTACATTAGGATTAGAGAAGCAGTCAGATCCTTCCAACTTGACAGCCGATGGTTGCTCGTCTGCAATCTAGGTCTTGATGCTTGGATGCATCCTTGATATTCGTGTGACCACAACTCCATCAAGGCTAGGAAAAGTCTTATATATCCAGGCTTGAAAGGCTACCAACATACCTCGTAGCCTGTAGTGTGAGTTCCTCATACTCAATCTGTCTTTCAATGCACTCAACGTAATTTCAAATAATAACTTGCCCAATGAAACTGATTCATTGCAGAGAAATCATCAACAAGCACGAATAGAAAGTGGTCAACAACTTTCTTATAATCTCTTGGAAATAGATATGCCGTGCTGAAGTACAGCATCCTAATAATAGCAACATCATTATTTGGAAGAGTTTCAACGAGATCCAAGTCTGGCATTTGGCAAGCAGATATGAAAGTGGACTTTACATCTTCGTGGGTTACACTATGCACTTGAGAAAAATATTTTGCCTTTAA